AATTTTTGTTATTACTTCTAATAATTTTCTTTTTACTATTAACATTAAACATTATAGATTAAGATATTTATGTAATTTTTATGCTTATATCTTTAAGTAATTATAAAGAAATTATATATTTAATAAAGTTAAATAATAATAAATAAAATTTTTTATTTTTATATTTACACATTATAATATAAAACTATAATATTTTTTATTTTTTTTATTATTTAATAAATTTAAATTAATAGTTTATTTTTTTTCTTTTATTATAATAAATTCTTTACTTTTTTGTTATAAAATTTATATATTTTTTATTATTAATTGTCTAAATTTTGAGTTTATAGTAATAAGTTAAATGATGTTTAAAAATTAATTATATTATTTATAAATAATATTAAAAGTAATTTTTATTTTAATTTTATTTTAATAATAAGTTATGTTTTTTTTTATTACAAATTAATGATTATTTTTTTATTCTTGTAATTTTCTTTATTATTATCTTTTTAATTCTTTATAAAAATTTCTTAAATAATTTAAATTATATTCTGACTATAAAATAAGTTAAATAATAATAAATTTATAAAAATTTTATTATTTCTGTATTATTACTTTTTATGATATACTATTTAATTTAATATTAATTTAAATATTATTTTATAATTATATTAATAATTAAAATAATTGCAGATTTTAAAAGCTATTATTTTTATTACTATAGTATTATTAATTAGTAATAAAGTTATTTTAAAAGGATTTTAAATATATATTTAAGAAACTTAATTGAATTAAAAATGTCTGGTTATTATTAAAATTATTAGAATAATTTTTTTAATATATTTTAATTATTATAATCACTAAAATTTAAATTTTACAAATTATTAAAATTTTGTAAGTTTAATAACTTTAACAAAAGTTACTATTTATTATTAAGAAGATTTTACAAATTAATTTTTATTTATAAAAATTTAATTTATTTATATTATTACTATCATTATTAATATTAGCAATAGTAATAGTAGCAATAGCAGAATAAAAAAATATTATTTTTATTATAATAATTAGCAATATAAGAACTAATACTTTATAATTTCAATAAATTATTTATCTATATTCTATATATTTTATCTATTTTCTGTATTAAATAATTTGTTTAATTAATTATTATTATGATATATTATTTATTAAATTGTATTTGACAGACATAATTATTCTATTAATAATTTATAATAAATATTGAATTGACATAATTAATTTTAATTTCATCAAAATTAATTAATGTCAAAGTATAGTTATTTTTAACAATTTATAATTATAGTTTCTTTATAATATATTTTTTTTATTATTAAAATTATATAATATAGCATTTTATAAATTCTTATCTTTATACTGTTATATATATAATATATAAAATTGTTTTACTAAAATATAAAAAATGAAATGTATTATTATATTAGTAATTTATTAATTATTATATAATATTATTTTACGGTCAACTCTTATTATAATGAACTCTATATCCTAGATCTCAACTTTGCTATAATGCTATAATGAAGATTTTAAGAGATTAAATTAGTCAATTCTCTATAATAAGAGTATTTTTATTATATTTATTCAAAAAATTCATTATATTAAGAGTTCACTATATCAAAAGTTGACTGTAAATTTATTTATTTAAGATTTATATTAATTTAATAGATTAAATATTATTATTCATATTATTAATATAGAAAATATAATACTAATTAAATAAAATTTTATTAGACTTAATATAAAAATAAAAAATTACAAAAAAAAAAATTTAATAGACATTAAAATTAAAATTAATATGACTCTTAAAAATTAATAAAATTATTTAAAAAATTTATTTTAAATTTGATAAAATATTTAAATTTTATTTTTATAAGTTTTTAATAAGATTTAATATAGTTTATTTTTTTATTAAAATTTAATAAAAACTTTTTTTATTATTTTATTTATTTTATTAAAATATTCAAATTTATTTTTAAATATTACTTATTATTATAATATAAAAAAATACTTATATATTTATAGTAAAAAGAAAGAAAATTATAAAAAAATATAATTTTTATTTTTATTTTAAATATATTTTTTTACTATAAGTGTATATATAGGGTAGTAATATTTACTTGAAAGATTGAAAATACCCTTGAAAGTACTTTCAGAAAGGTTAAAAATATAATTCTCTAATAAATACATTTGAATTAGAAGTTTTCAATCAAATTTTATGTTATTAGAAGTATAAAATGTATATAGAGTATAATATATTTAATCTTCTTTCTTTTTAAAAAGAAAAAAGACTACATATTAATCTTAATTTAAAAAAAAAATTTAAAATTTTTTTTTTCTTTTACAAAATACTTATTATAAATAAATAATATTATTAAAAAGTATAATTTTTTATTATATATTGATAATACTAGAAATTTTAAAAATAATAATTTATTTTATTAAAGCTTATTAGTAGTTTTAATACATTAAATTAAATCTAAAAATAAAAATATTTTAAATAGTTTTAAATAAATAATTATAATTAATCATCTATTTATTTAAAAGTAAAAATGTTAAACTATTTTAAATAATCCTAAAAATATCAATAAATTTGTTAATTCTAAAGAAGATTTTATTTATTGATATTATATTTTATTTTTTAATAATAAGAATATTTTTATTAATCTTTATTTTTAAAATTTAAAATCAGATCCTATAAATCCAATTCTAATTTATTAATCTTATTATAATTATTGATTTTAAAAATTTTTTTCTTTTAAAAATTATTCATAAAAATTATTATAATAATTTTTTAACAAAAATTACTTATTATATATAAAATTATTTGAAATTATTTAATATATTATTTCAACTTTAATCAAACTGCTCATTATATATCTCACCTCTTAATAAATAGAATAGACCTTTTAATAAAATTTTATAATAATCTAATTGGTTTGATTCTCAATTACTCAAACTTGATAATATGAATATAGAACCATAAATATATTACTTATTTTTTAAAAAATAAAAATATATAAAAATTTAAGATTAGATATTATTAATTAATAATGATGTTTATCAAATTATTTTTTATTATTTTAACCAATTTTAAATATTGTATTTAATCAAATTTAATAATATAATTTATTCAAATTTTAGTATTTTAGGTAAACTTAATAAGTATTAAAGATATAAAAATAAAAAATAGAATATATGTTTCAATCATATATTAGGTATTCTGATATGGCAAAAAAATTTTAATATATATAAAATCACATAAAAATCTTAAAATTATAATAGTTTCTCTTTTAAAGTAATGGAAAATGATAAAAACAAAAAAGATAACATATTAACATTACATATAGTATTTCTAGGAATGCTAATTATCATAAATTAGCTTAAAATTTGATTTTACTAATAAGTTTCAGTTTCAGTTTATCAAACATATAAGATTTTAATTTTAGAAAGCCTAGTTCCTTAGATATTAAATATTTATTAATAATATATATATTAAAGTAATAACAGATTTGAAGGTAAATCAAATCTTAATTAATTTGTCATATATTTAGGTTTTTTCAAGATAAGAGTAAAGAGATCAATAATAATAACCTTTTAATTAAATTTTTTTGAGTAAAAGAAAGTTGAGACGCATTCTTGCGAATCAATCTTCCAATTGAATAATGATTTTATTTATAAGGAAAAAAATTATACTGAGTAATTTATAAATTCCATTCATAATTAAAATTAAGACCGGACCGAGATTTATGAAAATGTCCGTATTATGAATGCAAATTAAAATTAAGTAATTATAATACAGAACATAATCAATTCCTTTGATGATATATAAACTTTCCTTTCGTCTCTTGATGAATGAAAACCCTCTATACAAGACCAAAACCACCAGTAAATGAAATACGCATCATGCTTCCAAAGTAAATGATGTAGAAGATGAATATAAAATTTCGTTTAAACAGATGAAATAAAACTGCTTACTAAGATTTATGGTTCTTGTATGTTTTTTTTTTGCAATAGGAGGGGGAAACTTCCATAAAAACAATATTTGGCATCTTCATTAGTAGCTATACAAAAAATCAATTACTAGTGTGTAATAATAAAATATAATAAAATTAAAAAAAACTCAACTTCAATGCATCTGATAAAAGATTAACTAGAGATTCTTCAAATTGTGTACAAAAATCGTGGAATCCCAATGAATTTATTCTATAACTTCAATGTACGAGAATACATATTCTAGCTTCCGTCCGACGAACTCATCATGCTATGGAAACTGTGATTTATAAATGTTGTTGAATGCGTTAAGAAGTGCCAGGCAAGTATCAATTGTGAATTTAAGTGGTATTATTATTTTTGCTAACTTTCTAATTTATTCTACAGGATTGAATTTAATGATCCATCATATCCCTAATTAATAAACACCTTTAAATTATTTATTCTATATTATACATCGTAAATTTCATTTCATAAAAGCAACAATTATATTGAAGAAAAAAGTAAAAAAAAAAAAAAAAAAAAAAAACAAAAAAAAAAACTCATTAAATTATTATTATATGCTCTTTAATAAAGATAAGAGGTATTTTTTAAAAAAAAATCTTTGACTTTATAGATTATTAATTTAAAAAAAAAAAATTTAAAATTTCTTTCTATATACTAAAAATTTTAATAAACCCCCAAAAAGAATTAATAATAACAGATATAAGAAAATGATTGTAAATATACAATACAAATAATGTAAATATAAAAAAAAAGAATTCAAAAATTTAGACTTCATCCAACCTAATATTCACTTTGTTAGATGATTCGATCTCTTGCTCTTTTTGCTCTTTTCAAATTGTTTTTTTTTTTAAAAAAAAAAGAGAGAAAAAAGTTAGTTTAATATTTATTATATAATATATACTATATTATTATGATATAAAATAAATGGTGTATTAATACATGAATCAAAAGGCTTTGTTTGATTCATTGGATTATGACACACATTTTGTCTATTTTTTACCATTATATGCCTTTTTACCAATATCAAATGGAACATATCTGTCAAAGTATAAGCAAAAAGAGATATATTAGCAAGATGAATTAAATATCTATGTACATATAATCAAGAAAACTTACTTGTATTTTATCATATGCTTTATCTGTCGTTTCATAGTAATGGCGAAAAGAATACAAAAATATATAAGAAGAATCGGCCAAAAAACTGGTATGTCAAAGAATGAGAAAAAGGTGCAAAATAAGGATATGATGACTGCTTTTGTTGAGGAGTACCTACAAAGAATTCAATTCAACCCGTCAAGTTTGTGAATAAAAAGAAATTGAAAATTGACATAAAGAATATAGTAATAATAATAATTATTATTATTTTTCATACCAAAATTTGAATTCGGGCAATCTTCGGATAAATGGCTTAAATTCTTCATCAGCTTTAGTGGGAAGTGAGGGACCATCTTCTGCTTCGTTTTCTGTAATATCCATTTCTAACGAAGGATCAAATTTAGGTTGCAGAAATGCAAGAAAAAGATTAAGAAGATAAATCCCTAACGCCTAAAGAATTGAAAATCGACGTTTATTAGAATTCTCATCCTTTGATACTCTGAAAGGATCCATTCTACGGGCAAAAAAAAGTAAAAACTTACATAAGTTACTATGTAAAATCCTTGTAAAGTGAAAATGCGCAGCATAAATAATAACAATATAACAACAGTGGCAGTCCATCTGTACACAGAATATGGGGTTACTTCGTCTAAAAATTTTTGATACCGCTATTTCAAAAAAAATAAAAAGGGTATAAATAAATTTCCTTTCAAGAGGCGAACTCATAAAGTAGATACCTTTTCAAATGCCGTTCTCTGAGCCCTAAGATTAGACCCACTTGATTCTGATGAATCTAGTGAACCGTTTGAAGTTGACATAATTGAAGCCAATGTTCGAAAAATGATGCAAAAACAAAAAAAATTCTGGTATTTAAAGTACTTTTACTTTATCTGTAGATCGATCATTTATTATCCTTATCTTAAAATCATCACCAGCGTTAAGTATAATTCGGGCCCAAAAAGAATAAAGGGTGATTATTATGTTTACATGTCTAACCGATTCATGTGCTTTTGGTGTTCTCCATGTTATGTAAGTTACTAATCCATCCATTTAAAACAATATTTATTGTATTTATATAATCAATCCGCAGTGAAGTTATTGGTTGTGGGGATTTGGGGAAGAAATTTATGGGAACTTTCTCAACTAGGTGAAGAAAATGTGGAGACTGTCGTACTAGGCTTTGACATTACCTTTTGTTTAGTCATGATTAACTACTGACATGCAATTCGCTAACGCACGTTATTTAAATTTTAATTATCCGATTTTAAATACTGATAATCAGCTGTTTTTGGGAAGACAAAAGTTTGTGGATAATTGTTTGAATGTACCTTTCACGTTTTGTATGTCAAAAATTTTAACCAAATTTAGCGAGTTCTATTGGGCCAAAAAAAGGTTGAAAAAAAATCTACAAAATAATTTTGAATTGACTCATCATTTAAAAGGAATTATGTTTATTTGTATTCTTTAATACGAACTATAAAAGGGAAATAATTTTAAAATTATTGTGTGTTCAAAGAATTGAACCAATTTATATTTTCTCCGAATCATCCATTCACTTGTTCTTTATCATTGCTCATCTGATCTACAAGAGATAAACGTGTGAAAAATCAAATGCTCAATTAAGGAAGAGCTGTTTATAACTTCGATATAAATATAACTCGGAATAATTCCTTATTTTAATTATCCCACCGTCAACATATATATCTCACGAAGGAATAAATTCCATTACTTACCTCAAAAGGATAATGTTGAAAAAAGTTTTTGTGGAGAAATCAATTCGTCCGTTATTACATAATTTGACAGGTTCATTTGGTGGCTTGGAATTTACTTATTTATTAGGTTAAAAGTGATGTAATAATCTAAATAGAAAATTCATAATCAGATGTTTGATTAAATTTCCGACTTCATTAAAGTCGTACAATTTGCCCTTTCTGCATTTTATAATAATAAGAGTCTTACTGGTTTCAGTCTGGTTTTCTTTTTACAAGTTTGTGAAGCAATCAAAAAGTATGGAAGCTTTATCTATTTTAAATAAACTTTTTTTTTTTTTATTTTTTTGGTTTTTTATTTTTTTTTTTCTGTGACAAATAAAAGTTGTGCATTCAACAGTAAACAGTTTTTATGTTTACCACTCATCGCTTATCATTTTGACGTTTTTTCCTTTTTTTTTTTTTTTTTTTTTTTTTTTTAGCATTCAAAAAATCTCTTTAACAATCATCTAAATCTACTCACTCAAAATACTCAAAATGAAAACCGATTCTGCAATAAAACAACGTTACAAATCACGCAGACGCCGTCAACCTCAGGGAACTGCCTCACGTCCACAATATAACAGTAGTAGTAACAATAATAGTAGTAATAATTCACAAGAATCGACATCGGCTGATGTCATTTTACCACCACTGGTTTCAGTATCACAATTAACCCTTCTTTCACAACAAAAAGAAAAGGCAACTTTATTTTCTCTTCCGGCCGAGTTAATTACTCGGATTACATATTATCTTACCTTACAAGAATATTCCCGCTTTTCACGTACATGCAAATATCTTTGCACACATTTTCAGAAAGAACTTATCTTATTTCTTAGATATGTCTATGGCCTTTCTGTTAGATCTGGTTCCTTAATCCTATTTGCTTATGGGGCTCATTTACAATATCGTGCACCAAAATTACTTGATCGTATTTTAGACGAGTTTTTTGTTGATGCTAATGATTCTCATAATACTGGACCTAACATTAATAATAGGGTTTCACCGGCTTCACGTCAAGCAAATTCACGGTGGCCTACATATTGGTCAGTTTTATACTCACTCGACAAAGCACCTAATTTAGAACCCCCGGTTAATAATACTAATACACCGGGTATAAGTTCTTGTTGTAATGAATGTTATTTTCAACCACATCAGAATATGTCATGTTATAAGTGCGCGTCTGCTCAATATCAAGGTTCAGAGTCAATGACGAACCCAAATCCAAAATTACAATTCCTTCAAAGATATGCGTCGAGAATGAATGCAAAATTTGCTGGCCGTTCTGGAAGGTCCGTTTCAGGTGAAAGATCACATAATAATGGACGTCGTAATGAATGGCTCATTACTGATGTGAGACTCAAAAAAACTTACAATATGTTGATCATGCAAAACATTCGGTACGGAGACATCTCTCTTTTAAGATTTTATCTTGACAAATATGGTGCGCCAATCAACGCGCAAGTAACATTTTCACAAGAGGTTAGTCGTTGAATTAATAGTTTGATCTTCATAAAGTACATCACTCATTATCATTTTTCATTTAGGAGCAAGTATATCTTGGGGCGGACAGCGAATTAATGAAATTGTTAGATGAATACCGTATACGAGTTGTTCTGACCCCTTGATTATAATTTTTATTTTATTTTATTTTATATTATTTTTTTTAGTATTTGCGCCCTGTATATCTGATTCTAATTGTAAATTAGATTCAACCTCAATTTCTTTTTCTTTATTGCATTGTACCTTTATTTATTTCAAAAAAAAAAAAAAAAAATTGAACTTTTTTCCTTATTAAAAATGGAAATTTACTCATTTAGTACTAATCCCGAACATTTAGAAAGTTTTCTTTAAATATGTATATGTATTTGCTTTTATATTATCAAATAGAACTATATAACAATTCAAAGTTCTTCCTTTTTGACCAAATTGTATAAACCCCCCAAAAAAATTAATTTTTTTTTTTTTAAAATTCTCCTCATATTTTAATATTAAATAGTCATTAGGGCTGATTAAATATATAAGATCCAATGTGGAATTGGTAATATATCAAAAAAAAAAAAAAAATTATTTATTATTATTATTATTATTATTATTATTAATGGAGTGTATATAGGATTATTGAAATTTTAACGATATTTTATTCAATATATTTTAATACCTTAAAGAACGAGATCACACATTTAATAAAGAAACGATGTGTGTTATTTATTTATTTTTACCAAGATTTAAGGTCATGGATTTATTAACCGAATTTTCTGTGAAAGATTGTTGTAATATAACTCTCATGATTAAATCAGAGTATCATCACAGCGACATGAGTGATGGATACTATATTCGAAGGGGGTATCATGAGAGGAGTCAAAACTTTCTATATCTAAATAAATATGATTCTGATATCGAAAAAAAAAAATTCAACTATAAATAATTTTTTGATGTGCTATATTACAGTATTTTGTAACTTTTATTTGTCTGACGAATCGCATACATGTTACGATACATTTTACTAAATTATATATGGAATATTCTTATAAATGAAATTTTTTTTTGATACAAAAATAAAAGTCAATCATAAGTACATTGTAACATTCCGTTTATTAATATCCCGTAATCGATAAATTATAAAAACATAACTAAATAAAGTCATTATTAACTTACCATTTCTCGTCAATTTTAGCGTCATCTTCAACAAGTGAATTTAAAAGTTTTTTGATTTTCTGACAATAACAAGTGGATTCAGTTCATAATTTACAGTTATAAATTAATTCAAAAAATTTAAATAAATATTTTATCTCTTCACTCATTTCTAACTAATAAACAAACGTGAGGTTAATGATAATTTTCATCATATTTGAATTTAGCTCATAGAAAAGTGCTGTAATTGCTTTTAATTTTATATTTATATAATAAATTCCTAACATGTGAAATTTCAATTATATAAAACATATTACAAGCAGATAAGTCTTAAAAAACAAGATTTGAAATAAAATTTTCTTGAATATCAGAAAGTTCTTTATAATTTAAATATTTATTTAAAAGTTTTGATAAATCTGTATAATTGTTTTTTTATAAATGAATGCATTTCATTTGTTAATTTTAAAAGGTTTTTAACTTATATTAGGATTATTTAAAAATTAAAAATTTTATTTTATAATTATTATTATTATAATTAATATACTAATTTTTTGCAGATTTAGTAAAAAAGATAATTTATAATTAAAAGTGAAAATCAGATTGTAAATTTAATGTTCAAAAATAAAAAAAAAAATAAAAATTAGTAAATATATTAATATTAATTATGTTACATAATTTATATTTAAAGTTATTTATTATTAATATATAAAGTATGTTAATAATTAATTTTTAATTAATAAGCTTTATAAAATCTAAATATTAATTTTTTATAAAATTTGTTATAAATAATATAGTTAAAATTAAAATTTATTTTTATTATATAATTTTTAGTTTATTTTTATTTTTATTTTTATTATTTATTATTAATTTAATTAACAAATATATCTAATATGAGGCATACTGCAACAAAACCAAACAAAATGAACATTTGTAATTGTCAAAAATTCAGGAATCAAAATTTAGTCATTTGTAATGTGATCATAATTAACAGTTTTATAATATCCCATTTGTTATCTTAAGAATTACCTCTACATAAAAATAATTAATATAAAGTTAATTTACATTAGGTCTACCATAGAACCAAAGAATTACAGCACCATTAGAAGTATTCTAAAAAAGGAACAAGGTGAAAAAATTGCTCCTTATATATTCAAAATAAAAGATACTCAAACACTGGAAGCTTATCTAAGAAAAGAAAAGATTACTTATGAAATTTACTAAGAAGAAAGAAAAATAATAAATGTTGGAAAAAGAAAGCATCATGATGATGCATTATTACCTAATAAAAAGCAAAAATCTTTAAAAGGAAAATAACCACCATTTTCTTTAATAGTTAGAATGAATTTCAATTTATAGAGAGGAAAATTACTTTCTTATTTTCAACCATGATCATCTTTTAGTCTCTTTGACTTCAATTTGAGCAATTTAACCATTCT